TTCCGTGCTTCTACTTTAGCTGCTCGGCTCCTCTGCTGTCGGCAGGGGAATGGCCTTGTACAACAGGATGAGCGCAGAGTGAGACTCGCCACCACCCGCCAGCCATCGATGGATGTCGATGGCACCTCGCTGACCTTGTCGTCGTTGAACCACCACCAGTTGCCGTCCTCCTCACCCCGCTTGCCTGTCTTGGGATCAACACGACCCTCCTTCTTGACGTACGCTGTGTAATGACCGCTGTCGGCGCTCGAGCCCTGGTGCGTCACCACACCACGGAGTTCGTACAAGCCCGACTGATTGGCACCCTCGTCCTGCCTGAGGGCCGGGTTGATGAGTCCGTCCAGCTCCTTCTTGAGCGTCAGAAGAGATGCATCGCGCTCCGCGTCAAACTCGGCATCCGTCTTGTAAGTCTCTGTCATCTCTGTGTCGCCGTCGCCCGACACCTTGGGCAGCTGGCTCACGGGTGCCTTCTTCTCGTTGGCCTTCTCCAGTGCCGTCTTCTCCTGTGGGGCGCCAGAGGACCCAGCAACGTCGCCGCGATCGTTGGCGTTAATCTTGCGCCTCTTGCGAGCCCGCTGCACATCCTCCTCATCCTTGCGGATCTCGCGAACCTTGTCGCGGACGGGAATGAGCATCGACTTGAGTTCATCGTTGCAGAACTCAACAGCATCAAGTTCGTGTGGGAACACAACCTTTCGCATGATCTTCGCCTTCTTTTGAGTATCACGGCGCCAGAAGAAACGGACAAAATGGACCGTCAAGTACTTTGGCAGCCGCGAGATCTGTGACTTCTTGGTAAAGTTCGTGTCACGGTCGAGTACCGCCGATCTCTTCTCAATCTTTTCCGTGAGGCCCGCCGCAATGCCGTCCCGAAGGTGATTGATTGTGCCGTCAATGTGACAGTTCAGCTTGAAGAAAGTCTCGGTTGACTTGCTTGTTTCCTCGCCGCCGTCTCTAGCATCCTGCTCATCGGCTTCGAGTGTCGAAGTCATTGCTCCGGCCATGTACTTGTCGATGAAGGAAGAATCCTCTCCTTCACCCAGGCGCTGCTTGAGTTGGCTCACAATCTGCGACCATGCCTCTTCGGCGTCCTGCTGAGCAAAGCCATTGCCTTGCTTAGATTTTTCGGCGAACTGAGGATACACGGAACGCAGCACGGTCAGAAATGTGTGGGGCGCCACGCTGTCCTGGGTCTCCGCCATCATCTTGTACAGGTCGACAAGAGGTGTAGCCAGGTCAGCCTGCGAGACGGGTTGCAGGCCAAGAGAGCCCTGGACAGGGCGAGGGGCTGGGCCCTTGGCCTTGTATGTAGTCAGGCTCTGTTGGAGCTCCGGGATGGATCGAAGGGTCTGGAGAGTCGAGTTGAGGTAGCAGGTGTTCCCAAGGTTGATAAGGCCAGCTGGAGTTGCGCCCTCTTGCTGTGCGGCCTCTGCTTCCGTCATGTCCTCGACAAACTTGATAGCCTCTTTAGGTCGAGTGAGGGTAGCACTGCCATCGGCGGGCGAGCCCATCATCATGATGACCTGGCCGGGCTTGAAGGCTAGCTTCGACATGTCGGCTTCATCCTTGAGGGGTCCACCCCGGACGAGGATCTTCTGGCGTTCAGGCTCGACGCCCGTCAGACTGTAGAGCTGGTATTTGAGAGTCTCTCCATTGGCAGTGGTATCGACCTCAACGTCGTATTTTTTGCCAGAGTGTTTGACGACAACTGAGCGGCACTCATGTCAATACATGCAAAGAAAGCAGAATAGACTCGCTTGGAGTACACTTACTGGGTATGGTGGCCATGTTGGCGGTTCGGTATCTGGGGCGTGGTAACAGGCACCAGTAGCTGTCGATGGAGTGCTATTTGAGTCTGAGGAGGTTACGTCGTATGATAGAGCTGGCAGATGGTTTGCCCAACAAAGTTTCACGAGGAATGCGATTCCAATGCGGATGATGAAGTTTGTGGATGGGAAAGTCTGCAGGCGGGAGGCAACTCTCCAGGTGCGTCACCGCCCGTCGCCTGGAGGAGGGTCCAATGCCTCGTAGTACAAGGCAACTGGCGGTTTGTTTGCGGGGCACCAAAGTACCTGCTACCTATCAGCTCACTGCCCCTGGCTACTTCCTAGGTTTCTTCGTGGTGGGCGGTCTGCGTGGTGGGGGTTCGTCGCCCTTGCGAAGGTGGCGGGGGATCTGCGGGGCCGCCGAAGCTCAAGGAACCCATCTGGAGGGTGGACAGTCAGCAAGGTCACGTGCCTCAGTGCCTGCGCCTCCTGTATCTGATTCCACATCTCGAGCTCGCGCCGTGCTGTCATGCTGCCCCACTGTGAGACGTCAGTGCCTCCAGCCGCCCCGACTTCACGAACCCCGCGGGCTCGACCGACGACGACTTCCCAAAGATACTCGAGCTGTGGCAGACCTCTGTCGATAATAATCATGGTGCGCTTCACGAGATACAGTTGCCGAATCTTTCATGAAGCCTCCTGCTGACATGCTGCTCCTAGTCTCAGTCTCTCCGCCCCTACCTCCAGGCTGTTCGAAGCAGCCTGACGTCTGCTCTCACCCTCTCCAACTTCGCCTCCCAGACTGCCGAGCGCCACAATGTTCCCGAGATTGAGGCCCAAACGTCCCCAGAGGTCCTCCTGACACCGCTGACGATCGCCCGTAACGAGAACGAAAGGGTCTTAATCGAGCCCAGCATCAACTCCATACGTATATCAATCAAGATCAAGCAGGCCGACGAGATCGAGCACATTCTGGTTCACAAGTTTACGCGCTTCTTGACGCAACGAGCCGAGTCGTTCTTCATCTTGAGGAGGAAGGCGATCAAGGTTGGTTCATCCCGGTGGCAGACGCGCGTAGAGCCGCTTGTCGTCGCCCTGACATATTACTAACTCGGCTTAGGGTTATGACATCTCGTTCCTCATTACAAACTTCCATACCGAAGAGATGCTCAAACACAAGTTGGTAGACTTTATCATCCAATTTATGGAGGAAGTGGATAAGGAGATCTCCGAGATGAAGCTTTTCGTATGTTGCAGCATCCTACTTTTACCGCCCCTTTATTTTCGTGGCTGACGATCACTCAGTTGAACGCTCGTGCGAGATTTGTCGCCGAATCCTTCCTGACGCCTGTAAGTTGTCTCTTCCAACGAAATACCGTAAGACGGTGTCTGATTCGATGCATTGCAGTTTGATTAAATTCTCACGATGCTTGTTCTAAACATGCGCCCTCAAAACCTTGCCTGTTGTTAGTCTTGCTATAGCCAAGAAGGCTCGTCCTTCTTTGGCGATTCATTACCGGGTTGGGATACGGAAGGACCGCCATCCCGGCGCATTGCAATCAGCTATTTCCCATGAGAAGAGTTCGGCATCCTGCCTAGCAATCCAAATCACAAAGCGATCCAAAAGCCCTGTCATAGATTGGGGACGGAGTTATTTCACCAAAAAAAGATGTTACCGTGTTACTCCGGCCTGCTTTTCATTTTTGAAAGCATCGCGTGATATCGTGGTAGGCTGTCGAGGTTGCTGTAGTCCTGGCAAGCTCAAGGGTACAATTCTAGTGCAACCTAAGGCAGTGCTTTTGACATTCATGTCCGTGATCACGTCGACCTTTCGAACAACCAATTGCACATCATAAGAAGAGAAGGATGTATCGCAGGGATTATCCTATTCGCAGTTGCCCTCACGAACCTACCTGAGGCTCTCGTGGAATTGCTCTCTGATTCACAGCCATAGAGGAATAGTGCCTTTCAAGCCGCTCTGCATCTTCCTCCTTGAACCCCTTATCCCAGTTGCTAATGACTTGAACTTCGCCGTCTCGCGCATAGTGCAGGCTATCGGCCGGCGAACTCACCTGAGAGCTGTGACTCGGAATTGCAGGCTCGAGGCGAATCCTCAGTAAGTTTCTTATTCAGTACTCCGCTGTTGTATACTAAATTTGGACGCCACGTCTGAGAAGAAGCCTGAGGCCCCTTCCTACATTCACTACTGTTCTTGTTTGCGCGCGTACGCGGTCAGATTTAGTTAGGCTTTTTTCCACCTGCATTTCTCAAATTGCATGCCTTCCTTTCTCAAAACGAGCGTTGCCTGAACTAACTTTCCTCAGAGCAAACTAGGTTCCCAAAGTTTGCAACCATCTCTTAATCACAACAGCGGAGCGTTTGCGCCCGGACCGTGAATCGCTGCATACCACTGCAGAGCCTTCTGGCGCTTTATCGCGGCCGCAACTACCAATGCAAGGGGTTTACAGAAAGGCTTCTAACCTAGAACGAGTCTCCTTCTTGCGGTCTTGAATTGCGCAGAAACGACAGGCCTGTGAGTACTCTTTCCTTCAAGCACAATCGTAGGCGGCCAGAGTTACCTTGTTTTCCTCCCAACATGTATGCACGAACTGACAATTATCAATATCCACCAGGCTCAGGGTTCGGTTTAACCCGCAACTGAGTCGTAATAATGAGCTCGAATCAGTTCCAGCCGTCTCAGGGCAGCCAGAAGCCTGATACCAAGGCTCCTGCCGTTGCTGAACAACCCAATTCCAGCATGCGCAGTAACTCTTCTCTTAACCCCGACATTGCCCCTTGGACCCCAGCTTTGGTTCCTGAAGGCATGCCTACTGTTTCTCAGCAGGCCCTTCATGGTTTTCATAATTCTTACAACTTGCATCAGTCAGTAAGTTACATCACTATGACCATTTCCGCTTTTCAGACTATCAACTAAAAAGATTTCTCAGGAGCCCCTGAACACGACTGAGTATGTCGGTAACATGCAATCCCACACTCATTTCGGTCAGCAAGTCGGCCAAGAAGCTGCCATCGTGCATAATGAACATCAGCAAGATGCGGAGATGGTCGAACCCCTATACCGTACCTTGTACGATCCCAGCGGCATGGTGATCCCTCAAGAGAATCTTCTTGACACTGCCGGTATCTCTAGCACTATCTCTGGCATTCATGTCCCAGGCCACATTGTTGGCCTTGGAGGCCCTTCTGGCTTCCCGCCCCCCATCCGTCCATTTGAACCAGCTCATGGACTGATGAACTCACAGCCTCGCATTGGGGCGCCCGATATTTTTGACTCTGGTGGCACCGATAGGTGCATTGACCGGACCGGCTTCATGGGAGAGACGGTTCACAACACTGGACTAACATCGCTTGCTGGAAGCCCTTTGAAACATTCCTACAGCAGCAAGGACGGAACTGCCGGTAAGATCTCGTTGCCTTTCCCTCACGGCTTCTCTCAGCCAACTCAACGAGGTGGCCTTGTCACCAGCCATTCAGCTGGCATCATTGACCTTGACATGACTCCGACCCCTATCCGAGCTCGGTCCTTGCAATCTCAGGATACTCCTTGCACTACTCGTTCTGCAGGCTTGAACACTATTTACAAAGTCCCCACCGGATATCAAGCCCCCCCGGCTTCTGAGAACCGCATCACTGGTCCCCAGACTGTTGGTTTGCGTGGTGTTCCAGCCCCTCCCCCTCGATTCAACCTTGACTCGGTTCAGGGTAACGGCTCCGTCGAGAGCGTCCAGGTCGAGCACGACCCTTTTTCAAGCCCTACTATTCGTACCAGCCTCGGGTTTGCCAACCACTCCCCTCGTCATCCTGACGAAATCACTTTCGATCGCTCTTGCAGACCATGTTGGTAGATCTCACACTTCAGCGTTCCGCTGTTCGGAGAAGCCTCACGAGAATCTGCGGTGTCCTCTCCATTGCCGTGGATGCCTGGGGAGTGTTTAAATATCGGCCCCGAGAGTCTGCTG